TAGCGATTCTTCATGCCCTGGAATTTTTTTTTTTTATGTATAAACAGGTCCCTAAGACGATATTGTTATGGACTTCTCAGAGTAGAAAAGAGAAGGAAAGGGAGGAGAAAGAGAAGCGAAAAGAAAAGGAGAAGGAGAGAAGGGAAAAGGAAAGAGAACGTGAAAAAGAGAGGGGGAAAGAGAGGAGTAAAAGGGAAGAATCAGATGGTGAGGTGAGTGAAGGTCATAAAGAGGAGAAAAGAAAAGGAAAAGATCGAGAGAGAAAACATAGGAGACGGCACCACAATTCTGACGAAGATGTCAGTTCTGATAGGGATGACAGAGAAGAGTCAAAGAAGTCCCGTAAACATGGTAATGATCGCAAAAAATCAAGAAAGGTACCCCCCTCGACTTCAATTCCAACTCAGCTAAGCTAAGCTTCAAATTTGATTTGGTGGAATATTATTAAAAAAAAAAGGGGAATGGTTTCTTGGCAGCATGCAATTTCCCCTGAATCAGAGAGTGAAAGTCGGCATAAAAGACAGAAGAAGGAGCATCGTGAGAGTAGTCGGCGAAGTGGAAATGAGGAGCTAGAGGATGGAGAGGTTGGGGAGGATGGGGAAATCCGACTTTAATCGCTAAGTGGTAACAAATTTTCTCACAGTTTTTACTTCATCTGAAACATTTTTTTTCTGCTTATAGAATGTCGCAACGCGATCTCTTGATTTTTCTTTTCATACTGTAGTGATATTTTTTGCTATCTTCCTTTTTCTATTAATTGGATGTATACCCAAATCCCCTGCCTTCAAATTTTTTATTTACTGCTGCTCATGCACAAAATAAAAACTGGGATTCAAGTAAAAAATGTTTCCAACATTTTGTAAAAAATATTCTTCAGGTTTTAATGAGCTTTCTTAAATTGAATATCGCAACTCTTCAGTTTTTAATGAGTTTTCCTACATTGAATCTTGCCACTCTGTTAACTAAGTTTATTTTATAAATTGGTTAACTATAATACATAATGTGAACGGCAATCGGAAACGTTGATGAAAGTAAAGACTTTGAGGAAGTGACTTTGTGTTTGACTACAGCAATAATTTGA